GTCTGAAAGCCACATTCCTTGAACTGGATGGAGCTCATGCTGGTGAGCCCTCCCTCTTCAGCTTACTGACCCTGGATTTTGCAGTGGCCATTTCAGCTTTCAGAATCTCGGGGTCATACTTAGAGCTGCAGGATGCGCCAGAGACCAAGCTGACCTGGAAGCCCAGATGGTGTGCAGCCACTGGTACTCCTGCTGCACAAACTCCAGGTGCTACGGCTCCACCTTGTAGACATCCTTCAAGGGATTCAGAGCCTCCTGGGCCACTATCAGGTCGTCCTTGAGCATGTGCTCCTGCTCCAACTGCCACTACACCCTTGGGTCCTCAATCTGTGTTGTTTTGGTGTTGTGGTCTATGAAGTAATCTCCAACTCCTTCTCATCCTAGTGGCAACTCATCACTAATGCAGTCAGCAAAGGCGAATGGTTTAGCGTACTGTCCCACAGGTTAACCCAGCTTAGTGCGTTTTTTGGTCTACGTAGTAGACCTTGCCATCCAAGTGGTAAGCCTCCTCCCAACCCTCCAACCAGGGCAGCTCTGGCCGGGACATCTTTCTGTGCATGGCCGGTGCTTCCCCCATGCAGTTCACGGCTGCCACAGGGCTCAACAGCTCTGGCCAGCTGCCTCTGATCCAGGGGGCTGCCCAGGCACATAAGTAGAGAGCTGGCGCACATGGATTGGAGTGGGGGCTGGCCAGGGTAGCACCGCTGTCTGTGTGGCCCAGTGGCCCTGGCATTGTCTTCTCTTCCAGCCTGAGGCAGCAAGGTGTGGGCCCAGGTACCAAACATCTAAATAATAATAATAATAATAAGATATCTACACTTCCATATAAAACTGTAACTTAAGAAATGTGGAAAAGATTGAATGGGATGAGGGCAAGGGATTCGGCTCAGTGGTTCTGCTGCCTGCCTCGCAAGCACAAGAACCCAAGTTCAATACCAAGTACCAAAAATTAAAAATAAAAAAATAAAAAGACTGAATGGGATAAATTTGTGTATTGAGAGAAGGCACTGCAGGGACAGTATCCTTGTCCCAAACTGCATCAAGACTTTACCCGGACAATAATGAATATAAGGAACCAGGACACATATTTCCTAATTTTAAGAAATGAAGTGATTAGAGAAATATTTAAATACTGAAATCCTATAATCTTGTACAGTATACAAGAGTTTAAAGAAGGGAAATTATCAGAAGCTGGGAAAAGTTTGATAGAAAAAGTGGCTTTTTATTTCATCCACAAAGGCAATATTTAAATAAGCAAAAGATAAAAGTTCTTGAAAGACAAATAAGTGGACATGGTGCCACAGGCCTATAATTCCAGCACTCTGGGAGGCTGAAGCAAGAGGACTGCAAATTTGAGCTCAGCCTAGGCAATTTAGAGACTTAGCAATACCCTGTTTCAAAACAAAATTTTAGCTGGGCACTGTGGCCACACTTGTAATCCCAGTACTCGGGAGGCTGAGGCAGGAGGATTGCCATGAGCTCAAGGCCAGCCTGGGCTACACAGTGAGTTCAAGGCCAGTCTGAACTACAAAGCAAGACCCTGTCTCAATCAATCAATCAATCAATCAATCGATCAAATTTAAAAAGATCTGGGGATGTAGCTCAGGGCAAAAGCCCTGGGTTCAGTCTCCAATGTGATAAAAAAAAATAATAGGGTTGGGGATTTAGCTCAGTGGTTCTGCTGCTGTGTTGCAAGCACAAGGACCCAAGTTCGATCCCCAGTACCCCCCACAAAAAAAAGAAAAAGAAAAAATTTCCCCAGCCCTGTATGCTAGATATTCTTGTCTTGGGCATATAGGAAAAGGAAATTGACATCTATGCTAACCTCTCTGATGAAAAGACTTTTGTGTTTTCAGTCCCTTTGGCAGAAATAAATAGAAAAATTAGGAAGTTTGTTTTTTAATTTTTTTTTTTCTGGAACCTGGGATAGAACTCGGGTCCTTGCACTTGCGAAGCAGGCACCAGAATCACTGAGCTAAATCCCTGGCCCAATAAATAGAAAAATTATTGTTCCAATTTTAGTGTATGTGCTGCCAAAGTGAGCACTAAACAGAAAAATTATCAATCAAAGACATTCTATGATCCTTGTCTGAAGAATCTGCTGAAACTTCTTCAGGATTACATCAGCAAATTCTCAAAGTTATAGACTCTCAGGAGTATTCTGACTGCATCAAGAGGCATTGATTATTTTTATTTATCATTAGTCTGTGTCACAGTTTGGAAGCAAAGCTGTATGCTCAGGCTGTTCTGGGGTTTCCTTGTTTACCAAGGTATATCGTCAGTGTTTCGTGCTGGGATATAAGTAAGGGTATTTAAAAAACCAAACAGATAGTTGCTTGGTGCTTCCTTTTGGCCTGCCTTTAAAAGGAGCTGTTTCTGTGAAATAAATGGGACCTTTTGTCTCCACACTATTGAGTGTGGTGTCTTTTCTCAATCCTCACTCCCCAACTCAGGTAAATTCGTGTTGTGACGGCTGGACTGCCACAAGTGGCGCCCAATGTGGGGCCTGAGTATTGAGGGATCCAGTGAAGGACACCGCAGAGAAGCAGGAGGCCTCAACAAAAAGGAACATGATGGAGCTCGATGGCTACCAGAAAGGCTGATTCGTCATGTGGATACTCCTGCTGATGTCAGTTCCTGCAAGATGTGATGACAGTCCTCAAGGACATTGGACTTATATGCCAGATCCTCTCCTTGCACATCCTGTCTCATCTGATTCACATGAAGTGCCAGTACTGGTGAATAATACAAATATACTTGGTTATTTATAAAGTAGTGTTTCTATGTTATAAAGAAAATGAGACTGATACATTGAGAAGTTTTTCTGGGACAAAAAAGACATTCCTCGATTGACCTTTAACCAACACCACATCAAAGAGTTCATCTGCTGGTCTTAGCCTTTCTGCTGGACTTTGGTGGAAAGATTCAAGTTTTCCCCAAACCAACATTTGAAAACTTGCTGCTGCATTGGGAGAAATATGTTTATGGTCAGATGTTAAAGTTACTAGCCTTAGTTTCAATATTGTTGGCATAGGGTCCTCTAATATAATGTCTTGTGTTAATGCTCCTTATATGTTATTAGTAAAAAGTATTGAGATTGTAAATGAAACTGATAATGAATATGACAACAGCTGTTTTAATTGTAAATTGACCAATTGTATATTCTCAGAGATGATGACTTCCTTTCATTCTGTGATAGTTTTGAGAAAACCTCCTTTTGTAATGATGCCTGTAAAAATTAATGAGTCCTGGTATGAAGATCAAGGTTTACAAATATTGATAGAGGTAGAGAAAGCTATATGTCAAACCTTTACAATCCATGGTATAACCCTTGCAGATAGCTGGTAGTCAAAGAC